GCATTAAAACAAATCCTCCACAGCCCCATTCAAAAGAGCTGTACTATTCACAGAGTGAAAACCAACCTCATTTCAGAACTTTTAAATGAGTCAACAGATCAGGTTTCACTAAAGGCACCTGTACCTGCCCAGGCCAGGTTCTTGTGCACACATGACACTTTGGCATGACAGATACCCTGCTTTCAAGAGCACTGTTAGGATACAACAATTAAGATATACACACAGCAGTTCCACAATTTTGTAAGTACAAAACATTATTGCACTATTTGCTTTATAAATCAAAATAACCCAGCAGCAACAGTTGAGTCTCCAAGTTTTATTTGCAACTGGAGACCTAGGGAAAACTGGCCATAAAGATACAGCTAACAACTTGTCATTTCACAAATGGTTTCATGTGCTTACAGCCACATTTGTCTGGGTAGGCAAATGAACCTGAAATGGGGGAAGTGGTATTTGCAAAAAACAGCCAGAACATAACAGACACAGCTGTATGAGTTGTTCAGGTGAGCTTCTGGACTCAGGTGGTATTTGAGAGTCATACAACAGAGCTAACTTTAACCAATAAAATTTCACTGGTTATCTCCTTGAATGTTTTTAAATCTTAACAGCAGCTGAGGTTTTAACAGTAATCTTAAAAATAATGTGCAGGAGGTATAAATTGTAAATACATACCTCACTAATGACTAAAGCTGTTGTTAAATGCCAACAATGTTTAAATGTTTACTCAAGTTTCGTACAATGTATCTCTGTATCTGCAAATCTGCCCAGCTCCCCCACCTTTATTTTTCTTTTAAAGGTTATACTGAAAGTCAGAATTACCAAAATCAGTACCAATTCTGAGGATTTAAAAGGAATGAACACTGTCTCCTGAACTGATAACAAATACTACCTGCAAGATTTACCGCTGTGCTGCCAACAGAATAGGAACAGTTCCTATGTAGCCTCCTTTATTTGATTTATTTCTTTTTTCTCAATATGCACATCTTACTTTCAACACTGATCATGCAATATTCATTTTTACAACACGAATGTTACTGTACAACGTGGTCTTACAAGATTTTTATATTTCCTCATCTATTTGAATGCCTCATATGCTAGCAGTAAGCTTTTCAGGAAAATAAATGCCTGCCTTTGTTTTTTTCTATTTTATGGTGCCCTGACATTGAGTCAGTACTTGGAACCCTGGGGATGGATACAAATGCTAGGAAATAACCACATATTTACTAGGTTTATAGAGTCACATTTTCACATGCACTAGGATAGATTTAGCTCACAGTAGTGTTTGTAAAATCTGGAAGCCTTTTACCACTATATATCCCCGCTATTTAAAGAAAACTGGCTGCTTTTAGGTAAAAATTAACATAAAATGCTTTATTTCTATGAATAAACAACACCTATAGTCCATTTACTTAAAATACTTTTTTTTGCCATCAGAACTTACTTCAAGTAGGCACCATAGACATACTGCATCTGAAACAGCCAGAAAAAAATATTTACAAGCCTAAACCTCAAGTAGGCACCATAGACATACTGCATCTGAAACAGCCAGAAAAAAAATATTTACAATGTCACAGCATATGCCACAGCACATACTGCAGTTGGGATGGCCATGACACACAGAGAGTCACCATACAATATCAGAAGGCTTCAACCCATACTGAGTAACACCTTACCACACCAGAAGGCTTCAGGCCCATAGAGAATAACACCCATCATTTCAACAGGCTGCAAGCATCTGTTCTTCTTGTTCTTCAGCCCAACCTTTTATCCCCTCACGTTCATGCACTGCCCCTGTGTGCCCTCTGCTCCCTTTGGTGTTGGTCAGTGCCCCTGGGCACTCCAGGCTCATTGCTGTCAGTGCTGCTCACAGCTGTGCCGCTGGGGATGGGGCTCAGCCCCATCCCAATCACCACAAACTGCGTGCCCACTTAAACTGCACAGTGGTGCATTGCTAGATTCAGGAAAAAGACTTCTGATAGGAAGATTGTTGATTGTTTTAAGGTTCAGGAACTCTTTGGCAGGTGGTCCCAAGCCGTGGAGCAGCCTGGAAAGCACCAGGCTGTGATGTGCAACTCCACTTGGGGCCACAAGATAGAGCCAGCAGCGCATTCATGGGCTCCGCAGTCCTTCCCTGACCTAACGGGGACCAACCCCCCTACAGAAATGAAAGGCCTGGGACGAGCTATTGAAAATGAGATAATAAACACAAGATTTACATCTGCAAGGGAAAAAAAGACAGCATAACTCTTATCAAACAGTTTCATTCTGTTTCAGTACGTTTATCCAAGGAGAGAAAGCAGAAAGTGCCCGTCAGGTGAGGGGTCCTGTCCCCTTGTCCCAGCTGCCCGTGGTGCAAACTTGTAAGTTTCATTCTGTTTCAGTACTTTTATTACAAGCCTGAAAGTTGGCTTTTGGAGTTGTGTGCAGCTTTTCTGCAGAGAAGCATCAGTTCATGCTTGCCCTGTTCTGGTATTTCTCCCCAGGAAAGACTGCAGAGCACTGAGAGGAGCACCAGCAACCCCTCCTGCCTAAAGCTGAGGTGCAATGCTCGCTCTGCTCAGTTTCCCTATCAGTATTCACAGTGCTATGCTTCCTGAATACTTTTAAAGACAAAATTGAGCTATTCTTTTTTTCATTATCACTGTTCCCCTTCAAGAGAGAGGGCTAAGACAGGACAAGGTGGTTTTTTTCTGTTTGAATACTATTTACTGCAATTAGTGTGTTACCAACTATGCATGTGCAATCTAGTGCATGGATAGATATTTGCCTTCACACACCCGTGGACTGCAGAGCACTGACACCTAACTGCAGGTCTCAAACCAATAAGGATTAGCAATGAGAGGAAATAAATCTCATATTTGCAATTTTTTCCTATTTGATTACAAAGTTAGAGATGAAAATCCATGTTTGGAGTAAGTTCTCTAAGTACAGCTCAACAGAGCTTAAATCTGTATTTTTCAGCATATACTTCAACATAGTAAAGTGTACAGGGAAAAAATCCTACATATTCACAAAGATGCCACAGCACCTAATAAACAATATTACAGTGATGTCGTTTTCTCATTATTACACACACTGCTCAAGATAAAATAAACTCACCAGTTACGTATTAAATGTCAAAAATAAACTTTAATGCTGTTCATCCTGCCAGTAAAGAATGGACAAGTGAACAGTCCACAAACCTCATGTCTCCTTCTCCTAGCTGTAAACATGTTGCTGTGCTGCTGTTTTCCATAACTGTTTGGGTAAGGGCAAATTTTCAGATTCTATAAGGCATTCAAATAATCACAAGATCAATTCTCATGTTATCAATAAATAGAAAATAAAACTATCAGTGCTGGTTCTGCATCACTTTACATTTGAAATACAGAACTTAATGAAAAAAACTGTAGGTATGTAGTTTTTGCCATTCATTTTGTTTTATAGTTTCCAACGAGTTGCTATTTTCCTGGATAATAATCCAAAAAGAGTCTTAAATCCTTATGTACAAAATTAGAAAAATATTAGTACTTAGAACCTGGAACTATGTAAGGCATTTAGTTGTAACACCACTATTTGCTATATAAGAGATTTTTTTCAAGCACAGTTGTTTTCTTCCAGCACTTTGCTTCATCCTTCACATCATTTTCTTTCCTTGATCTTCTGCTGAAGATCCTTGGATTCGAGCTGTTGTTTCTATCCATTATTACAACTTGTTCCTTCCTCTTTCTCATGTTGTTTCTGCTTCTTCACTCTGAGCACAAACTTATGTTCTTGTGATCATGTAACTCCCAGTGCTCTGATGCATTTCCTTGCCCTCATTTCTCCTCTTCCATACAGTGTTCAGTTCTGAACTCTCTCATTCTCACTTGCCTGGGAATATGAAAGTAGGAATTCCACCATCTACCTACATATAGAAATAGGCCAGGAACAAATATATGCTGACAGCAAATTCTCACACATCTGAGAAGATAAACAGCATTCACAATTGGTCCAGAAATTGCTCTCTCTGGGAAGTCACTGTTTGGCCACACACAATTCCTACAGGGGAACAGATGAGGCTGCCTCAAAATTTTGATGCAAGTCTTTTTATTCTAACATTCCTCAAACTTTACAAACTGCAACCATCTTCTCATACATTTTTGTGCAAGTGCTCAATTTGGCAGAAGCACAGATGAGTGACAGTCAGCTGGATTTCTTGGCTGCAGGTATAAACACTGACTTCCCTCCCCTTAAGGATTAAACTGCTGCCAGCAACCTGAGGAAATTCACAGTTCTCCAGTGAATGGAAAATACTGCCACTAGTTATTTCTTTCTCCCTACCCTGAAGGAACTGAGCTGCTGCCAATTAACATAGCATTTTCCTACATTTTGCAATCCCTTTGAACTTTTTCATGATTTTACAGGAAACAGTTTTGTCTCTATGTAAATCTATTCAGTGCAAATCCCAGTCACAAAAACAGGACTTATAACTGTAGCAGAAGCCCCTAGACAAGGGAATCTTGTTAGTCTGCATCCATTACTCAAAAAAATGTAGTGTTTATAACCAATTTGTAAAAAAACCAAGAAGAATCTAAGTGCAATGGAAAAGAAAATACAGTGACTAACAAATGAAGTGCACATGAGATAAACTACATTCAAAAATTCCATGGATTGGAGATTATACTGCTTTCATGTTACTGCCCACATTACTACAAACTGTCATTTCTTGAGAAATAGGATTAAAACCTGACTATTTTGCATACATCATGAACACTCACTGTATCTAATGATGGAGAAACAGAGTTCCAGGGTAAAGGGACAGGAGGCTAGCAACTGGAATATTGGTATGGGACTGCTGCTAAAAGAAAAGCTTCTCTTCCCCAGTTTAGTTTTCATCTGTCCACATACATAGCAGGACACATGCAGAACTCATCTCTCACACTAGTTGAAAATGTCCTCTTGTTTGCCTGAATAACTGCATTGTTTTATTTTTAAAGTTCATAGAGATGCCTTCTTTATGTAATAAGTTAAAAACTCACAAAATCAGCTTCAAGTTTTCCCATTTCTTGTTTGTAGCTTCTCATTCGACTGCTGTACATCCCTCGGCTTTGAGGTGGGATCTCTCGAACTTCAAGTTCCATCTGCTCAAGCTGACAAGTGAAAATAAAGAGTAGGTATACAAATCAAAAGGTTAATTAAAGCAAGAACAAATTTACCTGAGTTCAAGAAATATACCTAAGTTCAAGAAATATTCCTTCTTTATAAGGAAAAATGTTGATTATTCTGCAATATACAAAGAATTTATTAAAATCTTTGCACAGTTGTAAGTCAAGAAACAAGTGACAACATTAGTATTATTAACACTCAGAAGGAATGACTCGAGCCAAACATTTCTGGATTTCGATTCCAACTGTAATGAAGACATCTTAATGGAAAAAAAAATAGTAAAAGTGAGGATAATTCCTGAAAAGAAGCACAGTTCAAAAGAAAGCCTACCTTCACCTAGCTGTGCAGTTTCGGAAGCCGTTGGCTGAAAATGGTATTTTACTTATTTATGTACATATATATACATATATATGTAAAGTTTTCTTTTCCACTAGTCTGTGTGTTTAATAAAGTAATTCTTATGTTTAATAAATTAATTATTTTTTCTTTAAACATTGCCTACTCAGCAGAATTACATAACCTGAACTGGCTACCTAAATCTATGCCCCAAATTCATATGTAAGAATATTAAATAGCTGAATTTCAAGGTTCAATGACAATGCTATTCAAGAACTTGTATACAGTCGAATGGATTAAAAAATTAGAGACATATTCTATCCTTCAAAAGCTTTTTATTCTTGCCATGTAGAATTCTAAGGGGCCTGAAGTACAAGAATATGGCACAGGGGTACAGCAAATCAAAAGCTGTAAATGAGGGCTGCTAATTACCTGCCCACTGGGTCCTGGAGCCTGCTCTATATGGTGCTGTCTGTTCAGGAATTCTGTTTTGAAAGGCAGAAGAATCCCACACCTGCCTTTAAAATCTTTCCAATTTACTTAAAAAAGATAAAAGAATACCTCTCCTCGGTTGCTGTAAGCACCTGAAACAATATTTACTCACCTCCTACTGATCTTGGTTGAACAATATGGCATAGGAGCAGAAATGCTTTTCAATTAGGGTCCCAGGCTACTGGCTGCAGTTCTTCACAAGGGACTGCTAGAATTTATTCCTATGTAATCACTTGCTTACACTTTGAAATTTCATCCTCATATCATAAGAAAAGCATCTGAATTTAATCAATGGAATTGCCAGATACTCGAAAGTAATTTTGCCTGATGTATTCTGATTATACAAAATTATATTCAATAATAAACTATAAAGCAGACTTTAATTAAATAGTCACTAATGAATTGAAACACACAAAGCAATTTCTAATTCTACCCAGTTCTTTAGCTCAGGCTTAACTTTACAAAGGGGCATTATAAATTAAACCAATAGCTGGAATTAATAGCTTATTTCTTATCAATTTCATCTTAATATATTTGATCTCAAATGTTCTATAAACATTTCCCTCATATATATATACATATATTTATATGTGTGTGTGTGTGTGTGTGTGCATATTTCAATGAAGTCTCAATTCTTGTCTGTTCTATAAAAACAAAAACATATACCAGTAAATCCAGAATTTGGACCAATAATCAGTCTGTGATCCATGAAATCTAAAATGTTCATTCTAAAGAGTCAATATTAGAGAGTGTAAGGTCCAAGGAACAACAATGAAGCATATTTAGGTTGACCAATATTTACCAATGTTTTTCATAACAAGATTAAATGATGCATTTTGTGCTTGGGCTGAGAAATTTCCATGAGAAGCCATGCAGAACATAGTGGTCCAAGCAAGGGTGAACCTAAATGCAACCTAATTTCATGCACCTCCATTTTCAGAACTCATATTATTGGTCATAAAATAATATTTTTCATAAACAAGCAAAAGCAGAGCAGCCCTTCGTATTTCCATTCAAAAATACAACAAAGTAGTGTGGCTGATGTTGTCCACTCCAAAATAAGTTTCCCCCTCCCACAGGAACTTCTCCATATGAATCTGCTCTGGAATCAGCTGCTATATTTTAAGAAGCTTGTAAGATTCACTATTTTATTCTGATTCTAAAGCCCTGGAACTAAAATAGAGACCTAAAAAAAAAACACAGGAGAAGAATAACCCAGCATTTGCAACACAACAATTTTGTGATGCGTTCTTCATCAAAGATAAAGGCAAGTAACAGAGAGTTTTGTCTTAGAAGTAGAATTTCACTCAAAAATTCACAATTCTTCCGGCACATGCTAGATTTTACACTCAAAAAATTTGCCCAAGGTTAGCTCAACAATCACCTTTCTTGAAAACCTGTTAAAATAACTATTAGATACTCCACATTGGATGTAGAACAACAGGATTTCTCTCCAGAGATTTCTCACGCCACAGCTCTAGCTTGAAAAGACAGCCTGGGAGTCTGAAAGTTTTCATGTCAGTTCTGTACACAAATCAATTACACCACTGATTTTACCCAAACAAAGCAGACAGTGTTTTAAAACCATCACTCTTTAGTGAACACAAATAAATTATCTCTATAATAATATTTATGATACATGAGAGTGTTATTTCCTAGCCAAGTAGGAAATAAAAAGAAAAATCAGCTAATCCCAGCTTTGACTACACAAGACAATGAAGCAAACCAATGCATGAAAACTATCAGCAGCAAAGAATTAGGTTTATTTTGGTTTTCTACTGCAGCCTCTAGTTTAAAATAGGATCCTCTTAATAATTTCTGTTATTAGCAGGTTTGTTCAAATTGATTTCTAAACCCAAGCCTTGACATTAATCACAAACATGTTGGGTAATTGCTTAAAGCCAATAATTGAATCTAAAGATCTGAAACAAAAGTGTGAAAGAAAAGCCAGTACATTAAATGAAGATCATCATTAGCATAAAAATACAAAATACTAGATTTATTTTAATCTTGTAATAAATACAAATGTAGACGATCTTTTCCTGACATAAGGAGAGAAGTAAGAAGCCATTAACTCAATTTCTGCTCCTTCCAATCTACTTGGAGTAGAAAACCAAATTTGAATGACTACCCACACTGGAGCTTCTCTGTGCTGCTCTGTCTTTTGCCATGTCAACTTGTATTGAAAATGAGCTGAAAAACATTTCTAGATTTCTACTTTTTGTAGCTGTTTGAATATGGAAGTGCCCAAAAGGCCTTAATGTATCTTCAGAACATCCTCATGAGATGAGACAATAAATTTACCATGTTTCTCACTGGGAATACCAAATCAGAGAGGTTAGGTGTCTTGTCATCCTAACAAGGCAAAACTGCAGGAAGTCATCCCAAGATCCAGCTTTACTGGATGCTATTCCAATGCTCTGGTCTACAAGACTAATAAATCTATTTTTAAACCAAAAGCACCATGTATGCCTACAAACACTTGAGAGACATTTTTCTTCCTATGCAACTTAAAAAAATTGATTTTATTGTTTAGTTAGTAGCCAAATAACTGATTCAAGTTTTTTCCATTACCAGAAATTCTAGGATAGAAAAGCTAATTTTTTTCCCTATCCTAACATTCAGATTACATTTCTGACATTAGATACACCAAACCATTTGCAAGCAATGAACAAAAGCAACTTCAGGTACGGAACTATTGGCCATGTGGGAAAAAGACAATCTCAGCTGTCACCAACATCTCTGCTCAGTTACTCCACATCTACAAAACTTTACTCTTACAACCCTCCCAGATGGAAGACACTACAGGCTATAATGGGAACAAAATAAATAAAAGAAGAGAGTCACAGTTGGTTAACACATGTTGCTTGTCACATACTGGGATTTTTTTTGTCAGTGTGAACCACAAACTAATGCTTGGTTAACAGCTACACTCTTCTTGGATCAGTGACTCACACTGCCATGGCCCCCTTGTCCTCACCTTTATGTCTCACTTGCTAAAATGGAAAAAAAGATCTACTGCTCTACAAGACATTCTAGATGAAATTAAGCAGGTGCTTGGGTCTTACAAGTCAAAATCAAAGTCATGGTGTGTAAATATTTAATTCCATTCCTAAAGACCTAATCCACAACTCTTAAGTCTGTAACTATTTATTGACTTACAGCAATAGTGAAAACCTTGCATCACTTAACACAGGCTTAAAAAAAGATACTCTTCCTGTATTTCATATCCTCAAATAAGAACTATTTCAAGACTATTATTTCATTTTGTAATGTATCATTATTAAGTATTTTAGGGCATGAGTGTTAAATGTTGCTATCAATGATCCTATTACTTTTGTTAGGAATTTGCAGTTAACATAAGAAAAGCCAGAACATACCAGTTCCCTCGCTTCTTCGAGCTGTTTCTCAACATTTGCAACCATCTGCTTCTTCTCATCTGAAACAGAATTGTGAAAGTATCAATATAATTGTGCTCTTACCATGAAAGAAAAACATACAATTTCAAAAGATTGTATGTATCAGCTAAAACAGACTCAAGATTTATTCTGTGTGACATGGTGATACACACATTAGTAATTAAAAAAAACCCAAAAACTGGAGAATCCTTGAAGTGCTTCTGCCCTGTTATGCAGCATTTGCTAGTTAGGAAAGTACTTACAGCTGCTTCAGCTGTAGGAATTATGCCTCAGCAGGCACTTGTTGGTGTGTACAAATGCATGAGAACGCACATGCATACACTAAAATGGAAGAAAAAACATTCAAGAACAAAGGCTTAACAGATTCATTTGCAAAATATGAGATGCACAAAATCAAGCATCCCAATTAAAATTAATTCAGAGTCTGAATGATGTTTCTATTCCCCTACTCCTATGCTGGGTCTAGGATTGTTTCTTTTGCTTCAACAGATATAAAATGAAATGCCACAGGAACTACAAGAAAACCACTGTCTTCTAGTAACAGCAAAAATGGAAATTAGTAATAAAATATAGAATTTTTTAAAAATTCAAATATGTTTTAAGCTATACATAGCAATCACCATCTGCCAGGTTCCCCAGCAAGGCTATATCCCAGCTACAGAGACTGACTTTTGTCCTGCCTCCAACCATCCATTTGCAGGCAGAGAATCCAGCCTGAACTGAGAACTGAGACTGTGTCACATCATCACAAACATCCCAAGTGCTTCATAACTTGGTTTGTTACAGCATGAAAGGGGACTGAGAAATATTCAGATGCTGAATAATAAAATGTCCCCACACTGCTTCATTACTGTGGGTATTCAAGGGTTTCCATCCTACCATCGCATCTTCCAGCCTTCAGACTCTAAATCCGCCCGTTGTGTCAATGAAGCTAACAAGAGAACTCTGAACATACAAATGCTTTGTTTGAAACCAAGAGTATCATGAGACATCTGTACTGGTGGTTTGCCTGATGAAGCAGATAAAAAGTGAAAGCCACCAAAGTTTCTCCAGTCACAGCTCCCCAGAGGTCACAATGGACAAGTCTACATTGGCACAAGGCTTAATTATGTACCTCTGAACTTCAGAGCTTTGTTTTTAAGTCTGAATCCCCTTGCCCCCCTTCCACATGATCTCTTTGTATCCTGGAACTGACACATTAAAGACCAAAAGGGACAATCTGATGATTTCCTTCGATCCTTTGCATTCCACAAGCCACTGAATTTCATGAGAGGACCACTTTAATAAAGGAACATAAATCAGCTTCTCACAGGCTGAAATGCCTATCCATCTATCATCTCTTCACCTAAAATACTCTACACTGTCATTCAAGGACACAGGAACATCACAATCTGTCCTTCCTCAGTTACATATACTGGAGCTCTGCCTGCACAGAGGATCAGCTTGGGACCATCTTTCCTGCAAATCTGGAATTCACGCTGCTACGTCTGGTGGATTCTACCACAGCAGAAGATGCAGGAAATATTTTCTGTGTAGCACTTTAGTTTTCTGCAGGCAATGTCTTCCTTTAATTCCCCACCAGGTTCTCACGACAGCACTCAGGCCAGAAAATTCAGCACTTTATCTTCCTAACATAAAAAAAAACCAAAGAAATCTGCCCCTTCCCCAGCTGCCCCATACATTTCTATTCTCATATCCCAAAATACCTCTGTTCTTTCCTTCATTTGGAAGTCAGCAAGATGACAGTGGATGAAAATAAAAACAATGGAAGGTATGAAATACACAACACCATTTTATTGAAGCTGAAATAAAATTTTAAAATACAGCAGCAGAAAATAAATGTACTATAGCATTTTCAGTACTTCCCTGAGTTGTACTAGATCACAATTTTCATACATATTTAGTAACCTGAAATTTAGGGATATAAAGTTGGGGGTTTTTGAAAGGTATTTCATACTGAGCAAATTCTGCTTGTACTTGTAATTAAAAGAACTATTCAGCACTCCACTGGCCAGTAAAACCCTACTGACCCACAGAGAAATTTAGCTACAGACCTTTTGTAGGGAAAACTCACTAGTACAGAAGGTCTAGCTGCTCCCATAAAATTAGGAGGGTATTCAAATGATCTCCAGTGGTTTAGTTGATTAAATTTTAACCCAACTCCATATTTTAATACTGGCCCAGGTACATAATCACCCAGATGCTGCCTTTGTTTTTCTTTCAAATACAGATATGTGAGCAGGCACATGGCAACACCCCAGCACTGCAGCTCGGGAGCAGGATCTTCACAGGCTTCCAGGAGAGCAGCTAAAATTCTTGCAACTGCTGATCCTCTAGGGCACACAATACCATGTAACCATGGTTTCCAAAGCATTTCTTTTCAGATTTACTTTTACTTCAGTGGTTAAGCAAAGGAAACAACTTATTTCACAACCAGAATCCCCATAGGAAGGGGGGCACAATACTCACAGGATGACTTGCTCAGAGACTGAAAGTGAGATGCAAGGGAGTTCCTCTGGGTAAGAGAAATTTGCCACTAATCAAGTAGATCAGGACAAACAAGTTACAGTCTAATTAAAGATGTTCATATTACCAACTGTATTAGTCCACTGTGACTTAGCAGTTTTCAAGCTGCCTACTCAATCATTTCCTTATGCATACTTTCACAGGAAATGAAGAAAAAATTGTTTTATAACTTTTTGTTTTGGTTGAGAACTCAAATACCCTTTAGAGAAAATAAAAAACAACGCGCCATCAAATATATCTAAATGTAATTTTTTCCTTACATTGCTACACATAATATCCCAAACAAAATATTCCACATAGTTTGTATCATTTAAGTGGTGAAATTGACAAACTATGGATAATGACTGGAAACAAAAGGGGGTTTTCCTCTGTGTAGGACTGCAAACAAATCTATTACACAAGCTTGTACACAAGGTTGTATCACTTTCTTAAAAGAAAGAAGCTTTCACTACATTTTCCCATTCCTTCAGCTTTGCCCTGGCATTAGACACTTTGTCTCCCAAAATACAGCAGTTGCAGAAAGGTGGGAATCTGTCTACAAGGTTGAAAAGATAACAGAGCACTGGTTTGATCTCAAAAAAACCAGGATCAAGACTTAGTCCCACTGCTCATGGAATTGCTTCTTTTCATTAGTACATGCTGAGGAGGAGACTGAGTAACAAAGGGCTTCAGCTCACAGACCACTTGCAGATGTTGCTGTGTTCACTCAGGTGGTTACATGTTCACCACTGCCAGAAGTTACTGTCCAACAGCAGAGACAAATGGAACAGTACGTGCATTTCTCTCTTTGGGTTCTAAAACTGTGCTCAAGAGGCACAGCATAATGAGCCAGACCTGAAACTGAGACAGTAAACTTCAGTGCAGGAGTACAACAGAAAACTAAAGGTGGGGCTTTCTTCAGCTAAACCTGCTTGCAACTGAAATGCAGCACTTTGATTGCCCAGCAGAAAATGCAGGTACCAAGTATGAGAAGAATGGCAGCACTCCAGTCCAAAGACATCACAAACCAGAGGCTACTGTGCTGGAAATGGACTAAGTATCACCACTCATGCTGATAAAACTCTCTTTCATGTCAAGCAATAAAAATTTATATGAATTTTTGGTCAAATCGTAAGACAGATGTTTCTCTGAAACACCAAGGAGCATTAATAAAACACATCAGTCAATGATCTTCATTCTTCAAAGACCTGCAGCAGCATCACAGAAAATCTATTTAAAAGGCATTTCTCTATTTATAACTTTCTTTAATTCCCCAGGTGATGTCTGCCTCAACAACAGAAGACATTTCTTCCCAAGATGTTCTACTGTCCCTGTTGCTTATTGTTTCTGTGATATCAGAGAGCCTTTGTTACATTTCTTGCTGAACTACTTATGCATTTGTAGGATTGTCTGCTGAGCCATCATCCTCTTAGAACACAGGACAGCACCATGTCCTGACAACACGGAATGCAGGAATGTTGCAAAACCAATTAAGCAGCATTTCTCCATTAGAGCAGGTCCATCTTGGGCAGCAGCGGGAAATAACCAGTCACTAGACTTCAGGAGATCTCTCTTTATTATGCAGAGTGGCACAAGTCCTTACACCTTTCATCCTGCTTCTTCCAGCGGGGAGGAAGAAGGCCATCAGCAATCTCTCTCAAATCACTGCTGCTGAAAACTGTCACCTCAGCTCCCCTCCCACCTCATAATCCTCTTTTTGAGGCTCTCCCAGTCAGCGCCACAAGAACTAACTGGAACTTCTGGTGATGAAGAAGCAAAGATCTTGCAAATATTCCTATTAAGAAACAAGGGGAAAATGTGTATTTAAAATATTTCTGATAAAGTGTTCAGCATAATCAGAGATTTCTTTTTCCAGGTGGTCAAATGCCTCTGTTAACTAAGACTGCAGTTTGTTTTGAAGTCATGGAAATTTTTGTTTCCTGATGAAAGACAGAATAGCCCTGAAAACAGAAGCAATAGCTAAGCCATAAATGTACAGTGCAAGAAGCAGCTGTAATGCAAGTCAGTTCAAACAATGTATAACTAACCACAAATATAACATGAGGGGAAAAAAATTAACTTTTGTCTTATCTTGACTCCATTTAGCCAAGTACCACATTCCTGGTCCTGCAGGGAACACGCCTTCTGTCTCCTCTGAGGGGAGGCAAATTCTATTAAAAAAGTAACCTTCTAATGGTCTCATAAAAAAGTGATGATTTCAAAGCCTGCTGCTTCTAGGCTATGTTACTGTTGAAGCCAATACTCTTTAAACATCTTTTATTTAAGCTCCAAAATCTCCCTAAGTGAATAAGGGAGACTGATTCAAGGAGAGGATTATGGAAATCCACTACTATGATGCAGAATAGTCTTCCTACTATTGAACAGACTCTGATGACTTCCAAAATCTATACAATAAGGATCTTAAATCTCTTATTCTTTACAATTAGGGAATTAAATCTCTCTTTTCCTATAAATCAGTCTGGCACTATTGATTTTCAGAGGATGAACCAGTAGTGTATTTATGATGTCTCCCTGTTCCTGCCAGAGGTCCTTAAATGTACTGTTCAGAAGTTAAGAAACCTTTGTGAAGGATTCCCTGCATCACCTCAGTAAATGGTTCCAGTGGCCATTTACAGGTTGAATACAATTTCTGAGCAGATTAAATTACACACCAGTTCTAAAATTCAATCACAGGAACTCTGATTCTCTCTTGTCTTCATTTTGTAAGTTTCCATTCGAAACAGACAAATTTTTCCACCTCAGCTGCAGGTTCTAACTGAATTATCTCTTTGTGTCCTTGCTGTTGAGATCAAGAGCAAAACATCTTTGTTAAGCCAAGGAAAAGGCATAGTTTCCTTTAGCCATAGAACTCAACCCTATTTTTTCAGAAGACTTTCTAACTTGCTACGATTAGAAGTGGACATAACCTTCCAAAATCAAAACAGATATTCTATTCAAAACCCCCTGAGATCACACATTTTAGTTGACCACCTACCTCAAATCCTGTTTAGAGTCACTACTTCATCACTTCACGATGCATTTCCCACTCTAAAAGTAGGATGCTATTCTCTGGTCCTGGATGCATGATACCTTTTCCTTTAGTCATATGCAAAAGTACACCATTAGTATGTGTTTACCTCCTTCTTATATAGTATCCACTCCTAGGGTTAAGGGTCCCAAGCTTTTGGGTAATATGCATAGGAAGCAGAGGCAGAAGTATTAAATGAGCTGGAAAGAAGAGGCATTAAGCTGAGCTACAAGAGGAACAGATGGGAAAACCACGAGTGTCAGCCTCCCTCCATCTCACACTCAGAGCCCTGTACTGGGGCACTGATTCCTGTGTGCTGGAAGATTCAGCTGGGCTGATTAACAAAATTAAAATTTTCATCCTTCTAGTCTTACAGACAGTACTGACTCTACTGCAGGGATACGTCATGAAACAGACCATGAACGCTGCAGGCTACTGACAAACACATTAAAGTAAATGAACACGGATTTCTTTGAATCTGCTCCTGCCTGTGAGTCACCACAGTCAATTATCCAAACCAAACGTACGAGGAGTAGGCAGCAAAAATACCGATTCAGATAAAGTCATGCACAAAATCTGTCTGTGCCACAGGAAAAACACTTGATTTCCACTAGTGATGTCGTGGCATGATCACAATAAAGAAGATTCAGCAGCAATGCTGCTACAGGGAACATCCCCCACCAGGTCTGCTCAGCCCTTCAGGTGCACTGGGTAACTTCGCGTGCCCCAGAGCCGGGCAGAAGGGAAGAGCTGATCCTCACAGGTGCCCAGCACACAAATATTGTCAGAGCATTCTTAACACGTCTCAAGAGACAGCTCGCTGCTGGGACAGACGCGGGGCAGGGAGGTGACTGTGCTGCGTAAGGAGCGAGGAGACACCTCGGTGAGAGCTCGCTCAGACCACGCCGGCACCTCCCGCCGCCGCCCTGCGCGCCCACCGCCGGCAGCTGCAGCGGCTCCCACAGACGAGCCGGCCGGGCCTGCGGAGCGAGGGCCGCGGGGGCGAAGAGCAGCCGCTCACCTCCTACCAGCTTCGGCACCTTCCCGATGCGGCCCGTGATCTCTGCCGTGAGCACGGCGAAGTCCTGCTCGTAGCTCTCGAAGTCGGAGGACATCGCGGCGATGGCGCTGCCGGTGCCGGGGGCGCCGCTCCGGACCGCGGCGCTTCCGCGTTCTGCCACACCAAAACGCGTCCCCCTCTCCGCCCCCGGACGCCTCGCCACACGTTCCGCCGAAACTCAGGCGATTTAACCGGCACTGCTCAGCCCCTCTCGGCCCTTCCGACAAATCCTGAGCGGCCTTGGCATTCGGGATCGCGCCGCACCGCAGGCACGGAGGAGAGGCGGCAATGACGAGTCACTCCCACCCCGCAGCCCCTCATGCCCCGCCTCGTAACCTGCAGGAGGGAGGAACGCGGCCGCGGCGCTACCGGCGGGCCGCTGTTTCCCGGGGGGGCCGTATTGCGAGCGGACCGCGGGCGGGCGGGCGGCGGCAGCGCGGGCCCCGCTCCCGCCCCGCTCCTCCCCTTCCCTGCCCTCCCCTTCCCCCTCCCTGCCCTCCCCTCCTCTTCCCAGTCCCTTCCCTCTTCCCTTCCCGCCCTCTCCGTCGGCAGCCGGCGGGAGCCATGCACGGCGGCGGCGGGGCGGCGGCGGCCGGGCGGCGGTAGCGGCGATGGCGGGGCCGGGCGCGCTGCAGCGGGCGCGGCGCCTGTGCCACTGGGGCCCGGCGGTGGCGCTGGCCGTGGTGGCCGTGTGCTCCGCCACCGCCATGGCCGACGCCGCGCTCTGGTACTGGCCCCTGGACACGGCCGGGGGAAGCGTCAACTTCGTGATGCTGCTCAACTGGACCGTCATGATCCTCTACAACTACTTCAGCGCCATGTTTGTGGGCCCCGGGTACGTCCCGCTGGGGTGGACGCCGGTAAGCGCTGCCTTGCGACCGCCTCGTCCCGGGGCCTCGCGGGCGACCGGCGGGCAGCCCTGGGGCCGGCCGGCCGCCCCCGCGGTCAGGACAGTGCAGATCGCGTGTCTTTCGATGTCTCTGTTTCTCCTCTGTCCCCCAGGAACGCTGCTCGCTCTCAGGCCATTCCTTCCTCCTTATCTTGTTCCGAAATCTTTCCTTTGCCTCTCCCCGGTTTGCTCTTGCCGCTTCCTGAGCTTCCCGTACAACCCAGTTTGCTCCTGATACCGAAATCAGAGATAGAAACTTTCTAACACAGTTTTGCTGTTAGAAAGCAGCACGCTGGACCCTTCAAATATCCTTCCTCTAACCGAGTGTGCCGAGCGTTGGGTAAACAGAGTTGTTATCAGCCACACTGATTACACATTCACTAGCTATCCCCACTTATTTAATGTATGTGTATGTAGTGCATTGCTTTACATTGTCAGGTTCCTTATGAGAAGTCCTTATGTGGCCTTTTGGGGTCTCCTTTGGTGGTCTTCAGTGGCCAGTGTTGTAATATTTCAGGTGGCCGTTCCTTGACCCCAGCTCCAGCAAGCACAGCGCTGTTGATTTCCGTGACTGTTGCTTTGTCAGCCTTGCAGAGCTGAGCGGCCTTCCTGCTTGCCTGAGTTACGTCCTTTAGCTGCTCCTCCAAGGCTCTGTTCTGTTCTGCTGCCCTTCTCCATCCCCTCCCTGTGCTGTCTGGGCTCTGGTAATGCTGCTTGGCTGGCAGCAGTTTTATTATATTAGGGGCTTCTCGAAGCAAAGCAGCAGAAAACAAGCACTGATAGTTGAGAATGAGAACTTCAAGGTGATCTGCATGCCCCTGCAGACACCTGGTTTGGAGATTTTGCTGCTAGCAGTAACAGTTGGAAGTAATTAATTTAGAAGATTTCTTTTTTTATTTTATGCAAGCCAGAAAATTATATGGTTACCATCTGCTTAACACAGTGCAAGATAGAAATTTGCATTTCCTGGCTTCAGTAATCTCTTGGAAGAATTGTAGTCGAGAATGACACAGGTTCAGTATCCCAAGGCAGCTGCCCAGAGTTTGTGTTCCAGTGGCCTGATGCAGTTTAGTGCTGGTCACCTTTCTAATTGTGGAATATTAACTCAGGACAGAGTCTGGGCAGAAGAGGATCCTGATAATCATCTTAGCAGGACAAGTGGGTGCTCCACTTCCTGAGTGCAAGATTTTGGCCACTGCTTTCTGTCTACAAGTGTCTCTGTCTCTCATCTTGCTGTACTTGAGGTGTGTGTGTGTAAAGCAGATTGTGAGGGAGTTGAACATTAGTGTTTACCAGTGCTGTATCTGAGTAGTAAGCTTAGAGTGGTTTATTGTGTAAAATGGAGAGAAAATGTGCTCAGGACTTTTTTTTTTTTTACAACAATAACATGCTAACTTTTACTCTCAGAACTTCACTGTTCAATCCTGCTTGTACAGTTGCTCTTCCTGACAGAAGAACTGTTTATTTCTTTTAGTAACCAGCACTTTCAGCAGTGGAAGATGGCTGTGTTGACAGCCAAGAGATTAGCTAGGAGATTATTTAATTTTGTTTTTTCCTCTCCTTGACGCCTACCATTAAATAGGGTTGGACCATGAAACACACCCTGTCAGAAGGAATCAAAAGTTAGGGAAATGCCAAGATAAACATTGCCAGCAGAGTTGTGTGTACATCTAACACTGCTGTTCTTCTGTTTAAAGGAAAAATCTCAGGATTGCATGTATCTCCAATACTGTAAAGTGTGTCAGTCTTACAAGGCACCTCGCTCACATCACTGTCGGAAATGTAACAGGTACTGTTCCTCTTCACAACTGTTGAAAGTCCATTTTACAGCAGCTTCAAATCTAATCGTGGGCTATTACCATAATTTGTGCTTCCAGCACTTGCATTGTAGATTTTTAAAAAGCTTCCATATGAGCACTATAGCCCTTTCAAGTGTTTCCACTTTCTAGTTGTATGATATCTATACAGTTTTGCTGTGTTGTAGTTTAGAAAAATGACTGTCTTTAACATTTCCTTTATAGTCTGAAATCAGTTTCTCTTAAGAGCTTCTTGATGGTACTAACAAAACAATGCAGTCCTGCTTCAGGGATGTGAGTCTGTAAATACCTAAAAGTTATCTGAAATTTTTTTAAAATTCTGAGTCCAAACATTGAGCTGCTTAGAGTAGAAATATCTATTCTGTCATCTTTCCAAATGGGAATTAAATGTTGATTTGAGTGGAAATTTGGACTGCTTTTTTTCACTCTTCACCAAAGTGGGTTTTTGAGGGGAGTTGGCATGTTAAGTGAAGTAATAAACCCTTTGGTCAACTTAAGAAGTTTGCACCTTGTTATCTTCCAACACAATGGTCCTGATACAAAGGACACTTTATTATAAATAGCTGTCACTGGAATTTAGTGCATCCTGAAAAAATCAAGGCACTTCAGCTGTCTGCAGTCCAAGCAGGTTGTCCTCTGAAGGACTCCTAAGAGAGTGTGGTGAAAGGATATTGCAACATACATGTTCATTTGTTACTTCTGTAAACCCAAGGTGTGCAGGCAGTGTTTTTATAGGAAACAAACTGACACTCCAGAGCAGTGCTGTAATTTGGCTACATCATGCCCAGATTTAAAACTAATGACTCTTGTCCTTGAATGACAATCTTTACACTGAGGATTGATCACTTAGGTGGTCACATAGACTTTTACACCTGTCAAGGTAATTTGGAATGTGAACAAATCTTTACTCACTCAGGTGGGGTTTTTTTGCATTTGTAAGCTACACCAAAATAACTGGCTTTATATTGAATACAAGAGTGTCTCTAGGGTGTTTACACATGTTAAATGTATTTTGAAAAGGATTTTCAATGTGTGAGGTGGATACATAGCAATTGAGAAAGCTTTCAGAGGGTTTACCACTGAAAAGAAAGAGTCACTATCACACTTCTGTCTGAATATCTTTCTTTAAATACTCTTTCTACAAGTAGTTCACAGGAAATTTGATATTTCCTTTATTTTCCTGGTATTCTGATTTTTAAAAACTGGCACTAACAGTAGTGCTTAATTATTGTGATCATAGTTCTTACAAGTCCCATTCTGTGGCTCTGTCTCCAGGCTCTGTACTATGGTGATTATTAGCAACTAGTTAGTTTGAGTAAAGAGGAGGACAGATAACTGAGGAGGGTAGGACCTGGATGCACTTTTTATTTGCTTTTCAAAATTCTATAACATGGAAATATAATTCTGAATAGCAACTGAAAAGAAACTACTGTGTTGATCTGTCAGAAATTGGTGGGTTCAAATGAAATAAAGGAAGTTGAGAAGTGGAAAATCAGCCATCCTTTGAGTTTTTTGAGAAACATCATATGTGTCCTTTATATTAATCAATGTTTATTATTCACAGATGTGTGATGAAGATGGATCACCACTGTCCTTGGATCAACAACTGTTGTGGATACCAGAATCATGCATCTTTCACTCTGTTTCTCCTCTTAGCTCCACTGGGATGCATTCACGCTTCTTTCATATTTATTATGACAATGTACACTCAGCTTTACAACAGAGTAAGAAAACATGACTAAATGCTTAAAATATTATTTAAGTCAGGTGCATAATTTATCTCTGGAAGTATAAGAGAATTTGGTTTTCTGAGAAGAAGCATGTGGAATTCTTTGTTCTCCTTTCCTCATGCACTCCTAGTTCTGTTGTGTACCTATAAGATGTATTTATGGGAATAGAGGAGGATTCAGAGAAAGCTGTTTCTATTTTCATTCTTTTTTTCTCTGTTACTTTTCATAATCACAGGGAGTTTCCTATTGCTTTGCATTGGCTGAAGACAGTTTCTGAGTAGTACTTTATATATAGAGAGAGAGGCTGTGTTTTGGCTGGCAAAGAAAACAGCTGCTATTTATTTCCAACACACAAGTTAGATCCTATTTATTTTCTTTTACTGGCCACTTTTTTTGAATTGTGTCTATTTCTTCAAGAAAAAAAAAGTACATTATTTTTGAGACTAAAGATAAATATGTTAGATGTGTTTTTTTTAACTGGAAAACTTCAACAGTGAGTAAAGCTTGTTCTGGAATACATCCCTTATCTCAGATCCATGGCTGAGATTATAAGCTTTGATTTCAGCCTTTGTGGTTGCAGTGAAGAGCTTGATGACATCACCTGAGTGTAACAGATGAAGTTGGATTTGTAGTAGCTGAGTTGTGTTTGCAGA